GTTTAGACGTCAGTTCTTCCTCTCCGAGTACATGGTTATGTTTTTCTAGGTCATTTAAATTAAAACACATATGCCTTTTTAAAAATAAGCATTTTCTCAAATTTATGCATGCATGTGTGTTTTTATATATACATAATTAATATACACAGCACACATATTATGTCTAAACTAAATTTTATTTTCTATGTGATTAATCTGTGTGTAGAATTAGTTTTTTTTTTACATGCTCTTTCAGACTTTAATTTTAAATATATTACTTAAAGAAAATACTTTTTCTGCTTGTTCAAACTACTTTTTTAAACAAGTTCAAAGTTTTTTGGGGGATAAAGAATGTATTGATTTCTGTTCAATCAACTTAAAATTGTAAGTTGTGGGTTGTGGCTGGAAGGTCATCCGCTGCATAAAACATATGCTGGATAAATTGGTGGTTCATTCCGCTGTGGCGACCCCTGATAAAAGGACTAAGCCCAAAAGAAAATGAATGAATGAATATATGAACTGGTTTGTGTTAGAATGACATGAAGGGATTGTGTGGAACATTTTTTTTTAGAGTGTGGCTTAAATTGCATTAGTAGCACAAGTTACTGTTGTACAGATTCGTACAACATGAAGACAACAATGAACCGTCTCTTTAAGAGTCAATGCTCTGAGCGGCCGCAGGAACACAGTGGCGCACAGACGGAGGGAGGGAAGGTCTGAATGGCTGTGGTCTTTGGCAGTGTTTCTCTGTCAGCAGTGACTGCGGTCTGAAGGTGAAGCGGGTCACTGCTGTACACGATGATTTGTTTAGCCAGAGCACTGTTGAGAACCATCTGCCCTGTAATTCAGGTGAGCATCTGCTGAGCTGCAGATGGCAGGAGAAGTGCAGGAGGGGAGGACCGTGCCTGCTCTCAAACAGGTCCTGAGCCAGAGGGACCGCTGTAGTAACTGTCTTTTAAAGATATTCTTTGTGCAGCGACATGCCAAAAGCTTGCCGTGTAGATCAGTTTATTAGTTTGCTTTTTGGCAGAAGTCTTGGAAACTTGCAAAGTTTCAAGTGAAAGAAAAATGTTTTGTGTGTGTGTATGTGTGTGTTTGTGTGTGTGTGTGTGTGTGTTTGTCTTGCTTTAGCCAAAACAAGGACCTCCATCTGCTTTAGTGTTGTCTAATTGAGAAAACTTCCCCCCCGTTTCTTTGGACTGAACTTTAAAGAGTTGCCTCAAAGTTTGAAAATTGATTTTTGCTCAGTTAAATTGGCTGCTGGTCTTCTGGACGGCAGGATACCTTCATTAAAGTCTCCAGCAAATATATAACCACTACTTTTCCAAATCAGTCTACTACAATTTATGTTTATGTATACCTTTGCCTCTCTCTGTTTGTCTGTTGTTTGTTCCTTCTTTTATATGTTTTTCATTCTTTTATTTATATATATATCTTTTTCATTTGATCTATCTGTTGTTGTGTTGTTCGTTATTTCATTTGAACTCCGATATCGGTCTCTCTGTGTTTTTCCTTCCGTATTTTAGTTGTTCATTTTTTATTTATTAATTTGTGTTCAATCTTTAAATTGTTTGTGCTCTCTTTTTTTATTTGTTTTTTCTATCTTGTATTAGTTCATTCCTGTTTTTTTTTCTTCATTCATTTATTCTAAGCTTTCATGCGCTCTTTTTATCTTTCTTTTGCTAAATATTCTCTTCGATGTTCGGTTGTTTAGTCTTTCTTATAAAAGAAGAAAACTTAAAACATGTTTTTTTTTTTTTTTTTTTTTTTTTTTTTGGCATCTAACACCTGATCTTAATAACAGTAATAACTGATAATAATATCTTAATAACTAATCCTAATAGTTATTTTAATTAATATGATTTTTCAGGTAGTCTAGCTGTATTTTATCTTGTTTTTTACATATTTTATATACTATTATGCTTATTTTGTTGTATATTTCTGTGCTAAACTTTGGCTCACTTCTGTAGTTTTGAAGTGCTCTCTAAAAAGTTTGACGACTTTCTTTCATGTTTGATTTTTTATTCACTTCCTTTTAGTTGTTCATTATTTATTTGTTAATTTTTGGGCCATTTTTAAACGTTTTGCATGTTCATTTATTCACTTTTTATCTGTTCGTTTTATCAATCCTTCTTTCATTCACTTTTACTTTTTCATTTGCTCATTGTTAATTGTTTTTTATTTGTTCCAGGGAAGGGAGGAGCATTGCTCATTCTTACACTCTCATTTGTGCTCTCTTTTTTCATTTGTTCTTTCTATCTTTTATTTGCTCATTCGTTTTTCATTTATTCTTTCATTCTAAGTTTTCATGTTCTTTTAATCTTTCTTTTGCTCAAACATTGGTTTGTATTTTGTTTTCATTTGTATTTCATTTTTCAAGAAGATTTGTTTTTCTTTTTCTGTTGTTTCATTATTTGCATATTATTACACTTTTATTCCTTCTTACATTCATTAAATTTTTATTCATTCATTCATTCATTCATTTTCTTGTCATTTCTTTATTAATCCGGGGTCGCCACAGTGAAATGAACCGCCAACTTATCCAGCACGTTTTTACACAGTGAATGCCCTGCCAGCCACAACCCATCTCTGGGAAACATCCACACACACATTCACACATACACACACACACACTCATACACTACAGACAATTTAGCCTACCCAATTCACCTGTACCGCATGTCTTTTGACTGTGGGGAAAACCGGAGCACCCAGAGCACATGCGAACATGCAAACTCCACAAAGAAACGCCAACTGAGCCGAGGTCACAGCGACCTTCTTGCTGTGAGGTGACAGCACTACCCACTGCACCACTGCGTCGCCATTAAGTTTTCATGTTCTTTTAATCTTTCTTTTGATCAATCTTTTTTTTTTTTCTTTTAATATATTTTGGTTTGTTCTTTGCTTGTTATTTTATTCTTTCATTTCTGTCAAATTTTTCAAGAACTTTCAGTATATTTTAAACTTTTGGTATTTATTTTAATCTTTCATTGGTTCATTCCTTAATTTTTCATTTGCTCTAATATTTGTGCATTATTGCACTTGAATTTGTTTTTTATTTTTAATTGTATTCATTATTTGCACATTCGTACACTTTCATTCTTTCATTTGTTTATTCTTTGCTTTCATAAATTCTTTTAATCTTCCTTTAAATTCTATTGTTTGTTCTTTTTGTTCACTCATTCTTTTGTGCTTGTTTAGTTTTTTATTTCATTAATATTTTCCTCTTTTAAGCTTTCATACATTCATTCGTTTAACCTTTTTTTACCTTTTTTATTATTAAAGTTTCCTTCTAATCACACATTTAGTAGAGTTTAAGTTTTTCTGCAATATCTACACAGAAAAAAAAAGAAAATGCTTTTCATTTAGATTTTTGGCTTGTTTCTAAAACCTAAAAATTCTTAAATCAAGAAGCATTTTCTAAATAAGCAAAACATAATGTCTTGTTTTCAGAAATAATATGCCAATCTTAAGCATTTTCTAAACAAGCAAAACAGTGTATTGTTTTAAGAAATAATATGCCAAATATAAGTGAGTTTTTCCTTAAAACAAGCAAAATAATCTGCCAATGGGGTAAGCAAAATAATCTTGTTTTTCCTTTCAACATAAGATTATTTTGCTTAACCCATTGGCAAATTATTTAGCTTGTTTTAAGTAACATTTCACTTATATTTGGCATATTATTTCTTAAAACAATACATTATGTTTTGCTTGTCAAGAAAATGCTTTTCAATTGTAGAGTTTTTTTATATTTAGGCTGGAAACAAGGTAAAAAAAAAAAAAAATCTAAGGAAAGCATGTTTTGCAGTGTAGTGTCTAAACTCCACCTGTTAGTACACAGTTCTGAAAAATCTGGCAGATCCAATCGCCGGTGGTCACTGGAGACGTTTAAGACTGCTGTTAATATTACATGTGAGCATCAATCCTGCTTGTGTGTGAGCGGCTGATGGGCTCTCGCTCGGGACAGAGGTTAATGTGGAGTGCAAACGCTGTGTGAGCTGATAGGATGTCTGACAGACTGACCTCTGCTGCCTCTCATGTTTTTTAATAGAGCAGCTGATTATCTGCAGATCTGCTCCTCCCTTTCCTCTGTAGACAGCACACTCTGTAGGGCAGATCCAGCTGGTTATTAGTCACACTTCATCTATGAGCTCTGATCGGTTTCTTCATACAGCAATCAGACAAGCAAACAAAATAAAACTCTAATATCTTCCTTCAAAATGCTGGCAAACAACTAATCATGATTAATCTCAACCAAAATAAAGGTTTTATGTTAATGTATGTGTAAAAATATCTCATTTTATGTATGTACTTATGTATGTAAGTTATTATTATTGTGTGCGTGTATGTGTGTGACTACACACAGATCAGCGTTTGCTTGTTTCTGTCAGATCTAAACTTATTAGCAAAAAAGGAGGGTTAACAAGAGTAAAAATGTACTCATCCTCAAGTGATTCCAAGCATTCATGGAATGCATTGTCTGTTTATCACACAAAAAGAGAGACTTTGAAAATGGGTAGCCATTGGCATCCATAGTAGCAAAAAATTTAAATGAACAAAAGTTAAAGGGGTAGTTTATCAAAAATGAAAACGTACTCTCCTGTGAGTGGTTCAAATCATTTATACAATTTAATGTCTGTTTATCACAAAAATAGAGATCTTGAAAAATCTGGTAGTCATTGGCATCCATAGTAGTAAAGTAGCAAAACAAATAACACAGTGAAAGTCATTGGTTGCTGGTTTCTAACATTCTTCAAAACATCTTCTTTTGTGTTCAACAGAAGAAAGAAACTCATAAAGGTTTTGAAGAAGTGTAAGTAAATAATGACAAACAATGTTTCATATCTCTTTACTTTCCTTCAAAATCAGAGAGAAGAAATGTTACTTCTTTTTTTCTTCCAAAAAGTGAATGGGCGGTTCATTCCGCTGTGGCGACCCCTGCTAAATACAAGACAAAGCTGAAGGAAAGTTAACTGAATAGATTGTTATTGAATACATTTTGTTCTTTTTTTCTCTTACAGACCAGTGCACGGTAACCAGATCATACCTGTTCCTGCACAAGTTTTGGTTTTTCAGCACCATCTACTATTTTGGCAACTGGGCTTTTCTTGGTGTAAGTTGGTTTATTTATTGTAACATTTTATGGGATTATATCAACATAAATATATAAACATCAATATTAGATATTAAGGACTTTATATTTATTAACACAAATGAATTCTTAAACTATAAGGAATACATGTTCCTTTACACTCCAATTTTACAACAATATTTATATTTATTTATCATAAATTATCAGATAAATAATAATACATTTATACATTTAACTGTAAGATTGCAGTGATTATTTATGAGTGTTTTTGTTAATAAAATAATAATGAATAACAATAATTTGTATTAGTTATTAATGTATTATAATAAATATTATGTTATATATTATATATGTTATATTAAAAATATTTTATTATTATTTTTATTACATATTGTATTATATATATATATATATATATATATATATATATATATATATATATATATATATATATATACTAATTAATATATATACTAATTAATATATTATAACAAATATACTGTTATATATCATATATGTTATATTACAAATATTAATACTAAATATAGTATTATAATTATAATATGTAATTATTAATATATTATAATAAATATGTTATATCATGTATGTTGTTTATACATGTATTATTATTATTATAATTATTATAGTTATTATTATTATTATTATTATTATTATTATTATTATTATTGTATGTAATTATTATTAATGTATTATAATATGTTAAATATAAGGTATGTTATATTAAATATATATTATTATTATTATATTATCATTAAATATAGTATCATAATATGTAATGATGAATATATTATAATAAATATTTTATATATTATGTATGTTATAATATAAATATATTATTATTATTATTATTATTATTATTATTATTTTCATCATCAACAACAGTTACAATAATGATAACCTTGTTTTGTTGCTGTGCAGTTATTTAAATAGCAATTATTTTTAATTTTGATTGTTGTTTTTATAATTGTTTGTGAACAGCTGCGTGTGTGCGCTTGTTGTGTTGCAGGTGTTTCTCATCGGTTTGGTTGTGTCGTGCTGTAAAGGCAAGAAGTCTGTGATTGAAGGGGAAGTTGATGCAGACGATTCGGATTTCAGTGATGATGAATATGTCCATTAACCTCTGCTGTGGTATGAAATAAACACCTGATTTTACTAGGTCTGGTTAGCAGTTAGAGCTGGAGTATATCAATTGTAAAACAGTTTTTCACCTTCTCAAAACTCGTCCTTGATTCGTCGTTCAGAGAGAGTATTATTATTATTAACATTCTTTAAGACTTAAGTGAATGTGTTATGATGCCAAATAGATTTTGTGTCTTTAGAGGCATTGTTGTGTTTAATTAGTTAGTAATCTGATATGTTAACCCGTTTCTAATACCAACTGAGGGTTTATATGCATGTCATGTTGCATTTTTGTCTGAAATAATTCAACACAAAAGACCAAATTTGTTTTCAGATAAGGTTTAAAGTTACAGATATTTTTGTTGACAGAAATAAAAAGGGTTGAGATCTTTATGCTGAATTATTTATTGAAGCTTTTTATAATTGCTGTGCACATCTGTCTTTTTGTTGTCTAGGAATAATACTGCTGTGTGCTTTCTTAAACGTTTCTGATCTCTGAATTATTATTGCCATAATGTCGAATTACTGTCACGCGTGTTGATTTCTTTCACAGACTTTTATTTTGGAATTTTTGGATTGTACTTGCAATGATTGACTGATGCAAAATGATGTAAAATATACAGTGTTTGCTTGTTTTGCTTTTCTTTTAAACATTTCTTTAAAAATGTCTGTATCAATGCAGTTTTCATCAATTAATAAAGATTAAAAGGAATATCTGGTTTTAAACAATAAATCCAATGACTTGTCTGTACTCTGTAGTAGGAGTAGTAATGTTACAATAATTGCTGCTGCTGTTGTTGTTGTTAGTAATATTAGTAAAAGATGACTAGGTAAGTAATTATTTTGAATATGTTATCATTTTGGTTACCTAGAGTTGCAGCTGGAAGGGTATCCACTGTGTAAATCATATGCTGGATAAGTGGGCGATTCATTCCGCTGTGGGAACCCCTGATTAATAAAGGGACTGAGCCAAAGGAAAAGAAATGCTGTATGTTAACATTTTGATTTTATCTCATATTTTTTCATATGATTATGACTACAGGCATATACACTCACCGGCCACTTTATTGGGTACACCTGTCCAACTGCTCGGTAATGCAAATTTCTGATCAGCCAATCACACGGCAGCAACTCAATGCATTAAGGCATGTAGGCATGGTCAAGTCAAACTGCTGCAGTTCAAACTGAGCATCAGAATGGGGAAGAAAGGTGATTTAAGTGACTTTGAAAGTGGCATGGTTGTTGGTGCCAGATGGGCTGGTCAGAGTATTTCAGAAACTGCTGATTTACTGGAATTTTCACGCACAACCATTTCTAGGGTTTACAGAGAACGGTCAGAAAAAGAGAAAATATCCAGTGAGTGGCAGTTCTGTGGGCACAAATGCCTTGTTGATGCCAGAGGTCAGAGGAGAACGGCCAGACTGGTTCCAGCTGATAGAAAAGCAACCGAGTTATGCAGAAGACCACACCGGCTGCCATCACTGTCAACTAAGAACAGGAAACTGAGGCTACAATTCACACAGGCTCACCAAAATTGGATAATAGAAGATTGGAAAAACGATTTATGGTCTGATGAGTTTCGATTTCTGCTGCGACATTTGGATGGTAGGGTCAGAATTTGGTGTCAACAACATAAATCAATAACATGTATTAAATGTTCAGTCTGCTGGTGGTGGTGTAATGGTGTGGAGGATATTTTCTTGGCACACTTTGGGCCCATTAGTACCAACTATGCATTGTGTCAATGCCACAACCTACCTGAGTATTGTTGCTGACCATGTCCATTCCTTTATGACCACAGTGTGCCCATCTTCTGATGGCTACGTCCAGCAGGATAATGTGCATGTCATATCGTCCTCGTCCTCCACCGTCTTCTGTTCACTTTCATTTTCTTCTGCAAATCCCCAACCCTCTTCCCACTCGTCCGTGACACCCCTCCGTCATCCAACCCCCTGCCCCGCTCTTCACTTTTGTGCATGGCACCTCTACATCCTCGGGTAATGCCTGATGTGTTAGTTACCCTGACATGTTCGGGGACTTTGCCATACACAAATTAAGGACTGTTTAGGCCTATGAAATCTTGACTTTAAAGTGAATAATTTTAAGTTAATTTGTTGAACTTGTAATTTAACTAACAATCTGAAGATTTCAGATGCCTAAAAACATATATACGTTTTTACAACTTTTAACCAAACTTGTTTTTTTTTGTTTATTAAAAAGTTCACATTCCAAAAAATAGCATAATTTATGAAAATAGTTATCTATGTATGTTTTTGCAAATAAACTCTTCTTTTAAACATTTTAAGATGTCATGCCTGTTGTTGTTTTCTTTTATGGCAGAAATGATTTTCCATACAATGCAGTTGCAAATGTCTGATGTGAAAGTGTTTGTAGGCTACTGTAGATCTTCTGTTTATTCTAGCAATCAGATACAAGACGTGAGCGCGCGCGGCCTGCGCAGTTTTTACAGGCATTGAATCTGCGTCTGCGCGTGACGAGCGGGCTTGTGCGCTTCTCGTGTGTTTTTACCTGGAGCAGATGTTCATGTGATTCATGGCTCACGAAGACACGCCAGCAAGACTCTCCTAACAGATGGCAGAGTTCTTTGGAAAGAAAACCGCTCATTTTCTCGAGCTTGCTTATATAATCAACAAAAAAGAAGGGTCGGTGACAACACTGTTACAGTACAGTTAACCGCCAGCACACTGTAACAAATGCAGACATAACAGAGTTTACAGGTGCGGAAGTGCGCTCGTTTAGTTGATTGTCTTAGAACTTCCGATTCGGTTGCCTATGGAAGAAATCAATCATAAACGGCAGAAAACGATACTACTTGCTCTACAAATAAATGTATTAGTGATTATACATAAAAAGTAAAATATTAAAAACACGAGGCAGCAAAACAAGCTGTTTTTAACGTCTATAAATCATTGAAAGTGCCCGGAAGTTTCGAACCAAAGGATTCCAATGGCTGCGCCCGCTCGTACGGCAAGAATAAGGTCAGTAGAAATGCAAGATTTTGATATTAAAATAACAATTGATCGTCAAATTGCATGTTGTTTTTGTTTATTTTACTGACTGAAATTTAGCCGGTTTGTTAATTAAGCTACACTGTTGTAAAAGGCTGTGGCTTTATTTTGTTTTGTTGTATTAGCATAGTTTGCTAATGATGAGCTAAAATAAAGTCCTGCCCCCTAGTTAATAATTCGTTTCAGTTGAAACTACATACTGAACATGTGCTCAACAACATAAAGAAATAAAAGTCTCAGCGACCTCCAGTTCACAAAGTCTTTTATAGATTTAAAAAATAAATAAACATAGCAGGTCTAGTAGACATGCTGACATTAGTGAAAAGTATTGTATTCTGAAATATACATTATGTAAAAATAATAATAATGATAATATTAAGGAGTCAAGCAAGTACAACACAATTAGAGTTAACCGACCTCAAATAAACCACCTATTCATTCATTCATTCATTCATTCATTCATTCATTCATTCATTCATTCATTCAACTTTAGCTCAGTCCCTTTTTGATCAGCGGTCACCACTGCGTAATAAACCACCAACTATTCCAGCATATGTTTTACGCAGGGGATGCCCTTCCAGGTAGGCTTTGGTACCAATGCTCTATTGGTAGTAATGTGCTCAAAGTGTGCCAAGAAAATATCCACTACACCATTACACCACCACCACCAACAGCCTGAACAGTTGACACAAGGCAGGATAGATCCGTGCTGTCATGTTGTGATGCCAAATTCTAACCCTACCATCCAGATTTTGCAGCAGAAATGGAGACTCATCAGACCAGGCAACGTTTTTTTAATTTTCTATTGTCCAATTTTGCTGAACCTTTGCAAATTGTAGCCTCAGTTTCTTCTTGTTCTTAACTGATAGAAGTGGAACCCGGTGTGATCTTCTGCCACTGTAGCCCATCAGCCTCAAGGTTGGATGTGTGTGCATTCAGAGATGCTCTTCTGCATACCTCGGTTGTAACGAGTGGTTGATTAAGTTACTGTTGCCTTTCTATTAGCCTGAACCAGTCTGGCCATTCTCCTCTTACCTCTGGCACCAACAAGGCATTTGCGCCCACAGAACTGCCACTCACTGGACATCAGGGCCGGAGTGGGACTCATTTTCAGCCCTGGAGTTTCAAGCCAGACCGGCCCACCTCAGTTCACGACTGATTCCAATTCAGTTACTAATGGCACTATCACGTCTTTTTCAAGAAAACTGCTGCTTTAGAAATTCAAATGGTCAACAGCCCTAACAGTATTTTATGTCTTAACAATAAAATCGAAAAAAAAACAAAAAACAGATTTTTCATGGGAGATTCGATCACAGGTCTGCGACATTGAAATGCAATGTGCTTACCACTGGACCACATTGGCGCTATTACAGTGAGAGTAAAAAATAACGAATGACTTGCGACCCTTAAGACACAGCACTACTTTCTTTTTTTGATGGCTCAATCTTTTTCTCCTATTTTTAGATTTCTGATCAAGTTATGTCAGATTTATTAATATAGTGAATCATTTGATTTTCATTGAGCAGGTGTTTTATTCATTTTATTCGAATTCTTATATTCACTAAGGTGCCGCTGTTTGGGGTCGATAGTTGCATTACATCATTATCATTAACGTTAGTTAACCTGCAGGCTGCATTTTTCTCACGGGGCTGCGAGAAAATAAATAAAAAGAGCGGCACTACGGTAAAATAATGATTAAAAAGAGTAAAGCTATGGTCAAATAAATAAATAGAAGAAAAAAAGTGTGACTGCTGAGAGTGCAGGCAGCTAGGGACGTCGGCCCTTGCGGTCAAAAAACAGACCGGCCCACCGGGAATTCTCCCAGTCCTCCCGATTAGCCAATCCGGGCCTGCTGGACATTTTCTCTTTTTCAGATCATTCTCTGTAAACCCTAGAGATAGTTGTGCATGAAAATCCCAGTAGACCAGCAGTTTCTAAAATACTCTGACCAGCCCATCCTGCACCAACAACCATGCCACGTTCAAAGTCACTTAAATCACCTTTCTTCCCCATTCTGATGCTCGGTTTGAACTGCAGCAGATCATCTTGACCATGTCTACATGCCTAAATGCATTGAGTTGCTGCCATGTGATTGGCTAATTAGAAACTTGTGTTAACAGGCAGTTGGACTGGTGTACCTAATAAAGTGGCCAGTAAGTGTTTATGTAAATGCAGCTTGTATGTGTTGTTTAATGGAGGCTGTGTTAGCCGTCATTGAGTGCTGTGTGTGTGTTTGCGCTTGTTTGTTCTTGTGTTTGGCTCTGCAATGTTAACCTCTCTGCTGCCCCTTTTTTCCACTGGGAGTCTCTACAAACTCTCCCAATGAAAAACACCGGGCTTCATCTGGTCCAGCTGTTAACTTGATCTGCTTCAGCACAGTCTGACTCTCTGCTTTGCTCTTTCTCTTTTATGGATGCTGCGAGTCTCATAGGAAACCTCAGTGTTTATGCTTTAACATTTGTCTGCATCAAGAGTGTGATCTGCAGTAATAAACTCCAAGATCCATAAATGACAAAACCCACTGTCATATCAGTGCTCTGGTGCTGGTAAACCTCCAACTCAACAAACCGCAGGATGATAAACCTCCCAAAGCATATTATAGCACT